CCGCCTCTGCTGCCACCAGCGTCTGGCTTTTGGTTTTCTGTGTGTTCTTAGGACTTCTCAGTCCTCAGCGAGTGCCGTGACGGCCGAGAGCAAGAGAGAAGAAGGAGAGCACAGAATCACACTGCACGTGGCTCAGTGATTTTGGCACTGAAAACTTAGAAACCAGGGCAAAATCAGCAGCATTTACTAAAAGCTCTTGAGACTGACTTGCAATTTTCTAGACAAGCTTGATGTGTGAGGGGGGTACAATAATCGTGAAGACCTTGTGCTGGACTGCTTGCACTGAGGAATGTCTCCCCTCCGCTAGGACTGATGGGGTAGCCTCACAAATCAGATGAAGACCCAGCCTTCCTGTGGACATGAAGTGCCCACAGGTGAGAGAGGTGTTCTTGGAGGCTGCTGCCAGCATTCCTCAGGTTGGCACACAGTTCTTTTCTGGAAAGACTGCACAGCTGGTGACCCAAAAAGTCTTATTGTGCAGAAGCCTCCTACTGCAGAAGCCTCTGGCTTGTGAGCAAAGCCACGTGGGGTGGCAGGGTCTGGACTTCAGCAGACTTTGTATCTCAGAGCTGAACAGGAGGCACTGATGATTGTTTTTGCCCCCTCCAATTGCTGAGCATAAACAGCTCTCTCCTCTCTCTCTTCTGTGCTCTCTTCACTTGCATTCACTGAGTTCCCTCCCTCAGCTTCGGCAGTGAGATATGAGGTGGTGATTTACAGCCTTGGGCTTTGCCAGCTGCTCTGAGCCCCTGAGGGAAGCGGTAGCGAGCGCTGGTGCTGGACCGTGGGTGCGGGAAGGGCACGCCCTGTCCGTGAGGGCAGCTCGGGGCTCTCCCGGGGTCTAACGCGGAACTCTCGGGGCATGAGGGGTCGTGCCCGACACCCGCACCCCGAGCAGGCCCGGCACGGCCGTGGCTTTGCCGCTGGGGATGGTGTTTGCCCCGGGACCCCTTCCGAGCGTGTGCTCTGCCCCGGAGCAGCGGGAGCGCTGCGGGAGCCGTGCGGGGACCCTGCGGGGCTGCGGCCGGGCCGGGCCGGGCGGCGGGAGCTGCTTCCCGGGCAGGGGCCGGAGGTGCGGGTTATCCCGGCGGGAATAATGGGGGGAGCCGGGGTGACGCTGCTCCCACGTCCGCTCTGCGCCCCGGCAGTGTTTAAGCTTTGGTATTTAAGGCTGCAGCTGTTCTTGAAACCTTTCCCAGATGTTTGCCAGATTTCATGGCAAGAGAGACAGCAAGGGTGATGTACAAGAGGGTGGAGAACAGAGATGTGCGCGCTTTAGCTGCTTCTCTCTTAAAGCTTCTCTGAGGAGGACATCAGTTCTGGAAAATGCATACGAAGCAAAAGACGATAACCAAATCCACCGCCAGTGCCGCTGGAAAGCTGCTGCTCTCCTCTGAGGGAGGCGCGGGGAAACATCAGGGTTAGTCACTAATGTGATGCTGGAATGTCAGGTACCTCTTGCTGCTTTACTGGTTATGGGACCTTCAGGGAAGGGTCATTTAACAGCTGTGACCCAAACCCCACAGTTTTTGATCCTAAACTGGCTCCAGCCTTACTTCACACTCTCCCTCTTTCGCCAGCACTCCCTCTCCCGCACCCAGCTGATAATGCCCAGTGACATCACACAGCTCCCGTGGATGAGGAGCTGTACCTGGTGTTGAGAAACAAAAGCTACTACTGCTAGATTGAGAGTTTTGAGATCAAAGAACCTACAGCTGTCCTGACTGCTTTTGAAAAAGCACATCTCAAACAGCACTTGACCCCTGAGCTCAGCAACTGCCCTTACAGCCCCAGGTCCTTGGCTTGATCCAAGCCATGTCTTGCAGTCCAGCCCTCTCCTCTGGTCTCTCCCCGTGCCACCGAGGTGTCAAAGTCCTTGGTGTAATTGCACAAGTGCACACTCACCTGTTTGCACTGGAAGCTGTTCCTGCTCTCCTGAAGGGCCCCAGGATGATCCTCTCCAACAAGTCCTGCTTTCAGGTGTGTCAGTGCAGGGTCTGACACATCAGTACGTCACTGAACGGCCTGCAAACACACCACCTGTCAGCTCACCTCGAGCTCTGGGGCTGCCCCCTGGGTGCTGCCCCCTTGTATTTCCAGACCAAAAGACAAAGGAAGGGTTACAGTGATAATCCAGGGAATGCTGCAAGGTCAGATGTTCGTGGAAAACACTACCATCTTCTTTAGCACAATCATGGTTGATTCAGCTGCAAATTTGTCTCCATTTTGTTCCCATCTCTGCATTCCCACTGCAGAGGTCTTCAGCTTATTGTACAAGTTGCGTCCCTTTTAATCCTTCATTTGATACAGGAGATGAACCACTTACCACACCCATGCTGACAATGGCAGACCACAAAGGGAACCCCTTCACCTGCACCAGCAATTTCTGCCCGTGGCAGGTGAGCAGCTTGCACATGAACTGCTGCCAAAACCGCAGCGCAAATGTACCCCTGCCCAGCTGCTGCTGCACTGGGAAAAAAACTGTGTATAGCACAAGTACTGCTGATTTCAGCAAAGCTGGGGACTCCCTCTCAACCCTGTGCAGGCCCCAGTTTGGTGGTTCTCACTGCAGCGGCCCCAGGGACAGGGGGCTCAGCCTGCCCAAGGCCATGCTCTGTCAGAGCAGCACCCTGGGCAATGAGAGCAGCAGAGCTGGGCTCCAGAGCACAACTTAGGGAGAGAGATGGGCCAGAACCAGGAAAAACTCCCCTTGGAAAACAAAGGCAACCACTGTTCAAAATCCAGTTAGGTGTCACTCGTGCCAAAGTGCAGCACGAGGCAGCAGAGAAGGTCATGAGCAGCTTCAGGAGCTGCAGCCTGAGGCTGTCCAAGGACAAGGCCTGCAGGGAGGAGGGGACTTTGCCATGGCAGGATCCTCCCACGAGCCACAGCATAAGGGGCAGTCTCAGCTGCACCAGTGCAGACTGGAACGAACACTCTACTCCCCAAAATGGCAAAATCCGCATTTAATTTACAACATAGTAAAGGTTACAGGTAAAAAGCTCAACAGAAGTGTGAAAAGGCCTATTACATATTACACAAGTGTACAAACGTCTGTACAAAGCCCCTTGATGTTCCTGTCCCCTCCTGGCCAGCCGTGGCCCCTGAGCTCTGAAATAACGAGAGCTGGTTCAGAGCCAGGGAGGAGAAGAGCTTTAAAAAACAATGAGCAGTGAAGCTTCCCTTGTCAAGAAAAATCTTGCAAAGAGCCACTTGCAAAGAAACCAAAACCACCCCCCCAACAGACAAAAAACCCTCAAAACAAAACAGAAAAAGAAGAAAACTTGTTCAACCTTTGTTTGCCCTGACTATTCTTACCCTAAAGAGTTGCCTTCAGAAAGCAACTGGGTGGGAAATGAAAATCCTACAGGCCAGACTAAAGGGATTAAGATTTGGAGAGTCATTGTGGGAGTGCTGGGAAGCAGAACAAACACCCAAGGGCTGAATCATCAATGGCAACTGAACACCGAGTGGCACAGCTGGATCATGGAGCAGGTGCTGAGTCCACCCATGGAACAGTCCCAGCGGGATACGATGGTGCAAGGAGGGAACGGAGCAGTCTCTAAATCCATCGCTCTTGGGAGCAGGGCAGCTTCGGCTCAGCTTCGCCTCAGGGACATGATCGAAGCAACCATGGAGCAGCACCCACTTGGATTGTGGAGCATCTGTCCAAAAGGGCCTAGTGCATCCAGCACCCCCTGCACTGGAACACAGCCCTGTCCCAGCACCATCAGCACCCCCTGCACTGGAACACAGCCCTGTCCCAGCACCATCAGCACCCCCTGCACTGGAACACAGCCCTGTCCCAGCACTATCCATCACTCCCTGCACTGGAACACAGTACTGATCCAGCACCCCAGCACTACGTCACCAGGTAGCCCCAGCCCTGCACACAGTGAGCAGGCTCTCATTTTGGTGCACATTTCCTGGATCCCCCAAAGAACAAAGGAATGTGACTTGTAGCTGAACTGCACTAGAGAGTTTACAAAAACCCCAGAGCAAACCTAAAAGTAACAGAGCTCTGCCCTTACCTTGTGTAAAGTACAGCCACAGTGTCTGAACTTAGATTTTCAAATCTAAGCTCCAAGATCTGAAGGGCTGAAGTAACAACCCAAGTCAAGCTTCTCATTTTATTCAATGGGAAAAAGTGATCAAGGAATCAAAAAACGTGGTATTATGAAACCAGCTTGTACATTACTTTATTATCTCTACTGAGAATTCCTATTCTGGATCTCAGTAGCACTTGATCCTCATCTGCTGTTCCCAGCAGCCAAATTATTTGCAGATTGGGGGTTTAGGTGTGGAACGTGCCAGTCCCCCAGCTCTGCCGACAGCTGCTCAGCTCTGTGTCTTCTTGCATCTCATACACTCTAAGCTTACAAGTTCCATTTGCAAATAAAAATGAAACTAAGTTACAAGGGCCACCAAATGTAAAAGAAACTGTTCTCTGTGGTAACCTCACCCTGAGTTATCCCAGGGGAGTCACCACAGCTGCTGGCACCACAGCAGGGTGCAGACAGTGCCAGTCTCCCCATCAGACACTCCGACCTGTGCACCCAGTACCCACCCACAGCCCCCACCCTGCAGCATTGGAACAAAGCTAAGGAACCCACCTACTGCTTGTCCATCTTATGGGATGCTCTAGTGTTTTACATGGAAATTAAAACAAGCTGTAGGCAAACTAAAAATAATAATAAAAAAAAAGAGAATGCCCCACATTGGTGGGGTTTTGAAAATACAAAAAATAAAAGCTGACCTATATTCTGCAAGTTTTACAACTCCTACCGATGGGACTCTGCAAGGCTTGGCCCCAGAAACATTTGCTGTGAGCACGTCCAGCAGGAACAGCGTCACCCACAGCCAGCCCATCACCAAAACACACGGATCTGCAGGGCCCTGCCATGAGTGAGAATGAAACTGTGACTGCCCCTTCGACTTGCAGACCCAAACTCTGTGTAAAGACCTCTGGGACACTGGTGGCTAAGAAAAGGCTGCAGGGATTTTGGTTCAAAAGGAGCTGGGAGCTGTATTTTTTTCTTTTAAACAGACATATAAAAATGTTTGAAGACAGATCTTTAAAGGATATTTCACTTCTCCAATCTTGGTATTACATCTGTTAGAACACTGAAATTTTAAAAAGACGCACATGAAGAGTTTGTGGAGTTGGTGACTCCCACCCTCCCTCAGCCCAGCTCAGATCAGCAGGGACGGGGTCGGCTTCTTGCCCGGCCAGGCCTCCTTGGCGTATTTCTTCTTCTTGGGTTCATTCACAGCTTCGGGGTTGAAGACGGCTGGGTTTGGAGCCGGGTTCATGTTCACTGTGGAGGGCACGACTGGAGTCAAGTCCACATCGGGGGCCAGGTTGGGGTAGGGCATGGGCAGCCCCCCGATGAGCGCGGTGCCGTGCACGCCGTGCGACTGCGAGCCCGTCTCGTTGTGGGTGGGGGGCAGCCCCCCGTACAGCCCCCCGCTGTAGGGGAAGTTCTGCATGCGCCGCGACGCGGAGTCATCCGTGGGCAGCGAGCCCGTGTTCTCCAAACGCTTCTTCTGCAGGCACAACAGCGCAAGGGTTATTGAAAAGGCACGGAACCACCAAGCTCTTCAAACTCCCCCAAAAAAGGCACCTAAATCTGCCACATACAAAGTGCTTACACACACCGTCCCAGTCTTTGTCCCACAAGTTTTCTTCTGGGTTTCCTTGACAACCACAACAATAAACTCAAAGATGCACAGTGCAGGGAGGGTGACAGAAGCTGAAGCTCAGGTGTAACTTAGGTGAAGCCTGAGCACCTTTTCACCTCCTCTATTCTCCTGCCAGTCTTGAGCTTGTCCTGAACAAAGACTGAGCAGGTCTTTAGCCAGCAGACTCACAGAATGTCCTGGGTTGGAAGGGACCCACAAGGATTATCCAGTCCAACTCCTGGCCCTGCACAGGACATCCCAACAATCCCACCCTGTCCCTAAGAGTGTTATAACACAAACCTTCCCTTCCCTACAGAAAGAAACTGCAACTTTGAGATCCTGTGGGTAATTCTGCTCCGAATCACTGGAATCTTCTCCTGCAGCTTGGGCTTATTATCCTTCCCCATATGATGTTATTTAGTCTATACCAGCAACAACTGGAATTGCTGTTACACAGTGGCTTAGCTGCTCTGAAGCCTTGGAGCTCTTCCCTCCTCTTACATATTCCAATTAAACAGAGCACTGTCAACACACACTCATCTTGGAGCAAAGCCTAAACCTGCTTGTACACAACCTCAGTTGCATACACAATCTTATGAAACCTTTAACACTCAGTATTTAAACAAACAACCTCTTGTTTTTACTTTCTATTTTCCACACTTCCCACAATTTTAACTGATGTCTGGAAATAATGCACCGAATTTCTGTAAACTGTTTTTAAGAGGAAAAAAAAAATCACCACTGATCCCATGTGTTACTGAAGTAAAGAGCTAAACCTGGGTTTGAAGGGAAACGGTCAAATTTGCAAAAAAAGACAATTGAGAAACACAAACATCACTTTTGCCTAACAATGAAGCACTTTCCACCTTGGAATGTTCTGTTTCTGAGGTGCAGCTCATAAAGGGAGTCCATCAGTGTAAGGTGTGAATGAGAAAGGTGGGAGTCACTCCGTACCTTTACAGGGACCACTGCAGTCTGCACCATGTTCCGGAACCGCCCCACGGACGGGTCCACGTCCTCTGCAAAGCAAGAATAGTGACACCCTCGGTGAGGACACGGGGAAAACAGCGTGGAAAAATGGAACACAGCCCTGCTCCAACCAAAGCCAGCACGTCAGCACTCCCCAGGAGGCACAAGTGTGGCCAGGTAAAGAATGGGGCTCAGGGGACACCCAGAGGCTTTGTCTCCAGGTAGCTCATCAGCAATCCTGGTAATGACTGCTCTCCCTCAAATGAAGAATGGGAAGGGGAGCAGCAGGATGGGCAGTTTGGGATCACACAGGCTGGAGTATGGGCTGAAAGCTGCTGCTGACAAGGCACTGCACATGCTAAAGGCACAGCAGCGAGTCCACAAAGTCCTTGGGGGGCCTTGAAGGAGGAGTAAGAAGCAGCCAGTGTAAGTTCCCGAAAGTCTGGAAAAATTATCTTCTTTTTTTTTTTTTTTCCCCAATGTGAATGACTGGCATTTGCATTAGGATGTTCTGAGCACTGAACTGCATCACCTTATAAACCAAATTGGTCACTCTGGGTGCTCTATGCTGCCAATGGAACCACTTCCACACCGTATTTCAAAATTAATTAAGCTCATTAATTAGCTACCCTTATTAACAGGAATACCATCCATATAAAGAGTCATTGATAGGAATGCCATTAATATAGAACAGATAAAGGAGAAAAAAAGGCTAATTTGAAATTGGATATGTGTTCAGATGCATCAGTTTGAATGAGGATTGAGGACGACTTGGTTCAGATGTACAGAAAAGTAGCAAAGACCCTCTGAGCTGGAGACAGATGCCCCGGAGGCAACAGGTAAGGAAAGCATTAGGGGACAGATGAAAAACAAGTTCCATTCCCATTTAGATTCTAAAGAAGGCAAAAAATGTAAACCTTCTTCCTTTTGGACCTACGACAAATTTTCAGTACGTGACAAAATACTGAGCAGTGAAGCTGAGTGTGATGTCCCCACCCTGCACAGACCACACAGACCACACATTTCCTTTACAGGTACAACAGAAGAAACAGAGAGGTCAAAGACTTCAGTGAGACACGTGGCAGCTTCTCTGAAATAGCTGATGCCAAATATTGACTGCCTTATCCATGTGCAGCCAGGAGGAATCCCTGTGAGAATACTGGAAGGAGGTCCTGAAGGGCATCAGCTAAAGATTAAAGCAAAGTCCTTACCAGGATTGATGATCTCGTCGTCATCACTGAAGGTCACTCTGGAGTTCTTCCGTTTCCTCTTTGGCCTCTGGATGTCCAGGTTCCCTTCCTCAATGGTCAGTGTGGAGATCCTTTTGTTGTGGGCTGTATTAAACTCGGTCAGGTTCTAATGGCAAATTTGGAGATGAAAGAGTTTAAGCAACTAGTGTGAGAAATCTGATTTAATCACGTGACTGTGCACATCACAAGACCACAGGACACTGTTCAGTTTCAACTTCAGACCCCAGGGAAGAAGCAGAGCCTCAGGGCTGCAATGAGCTGCCCCGAGAGGCTGCAGGGTCTCTGCACAGATTCAGAACTGAGCACGATCCTGGGCAGCTGCTCCAGCTGGGCCTGCTCGAGCTGGTTGATGATTCTAAGAATTTCAGGAAACCATTGGACATGAAGCACCCTGGCAAGCCTTGGTGAGGTGACCACTGGGATATTAAGATTATTATGTCCCCGACTCTGGGAAGCAGCACGATCACAGGTTTATCATGGCAGATGAGATGCTTGAGGTGTATCGGTCAGCAGAGACACCTCAGACCAAGATCTTCAAGGCCAAGAAATTAAGAAACCAAACCTAAGGAAGTGTTCAGGCACCATCCCTGGAGGTATTTAAAACACATGTAGATGTGGCACTTCAGGACATGGTTTAGGGGTGGGCCTGTGTGAGGGACTGGTCATGTTTAATGGCTCACACAACTGGCCCTTTGCAAAAGTAGTGGGTGCTTTGCTGAAGATGTGCAAGGGAGCAGCCCAGGGGCAGAGGGGTGAACACCCACCACCGTGGGGGACAAGCTGGGCTTTGAGGCAGTTAAGGAATAGGCTGGTAAGAAGCACATCCTGTGAGGTGGCATAGTGCTTTTTATCATGGCAATGTCCTCCCTTACACAGCTGGCTCAGGGGTGAAAACTCCCCTCCCACTCTGGGGGAGATATTGGGATGTTCACACCTGGCCTGAAGATTTTCATCCCTTCTGCTGAGGCATTACTGGCTCAAATACGCTGATGTGAGAGGCAGCTGCCACGTCTTGCAAGGTGTCATAAACCGTCAAAGACCCCTGAAGTGCCCCCAGGGCACTTTTCTGGGGCCTTCCACCAGAGGACTGTGCATGATCCACAGTGTTGCAACAGATCCACAGGCTTGCAACAGACAGTGTAAAACAACTCCCCTCCCACCCGGGGAGTTATCTGGGCATTCCCATGTAAACCTAAGCCCACATTAACCCACTGGACTTTGTGTTTCAAGGGCTTCCCCCACCCCCGACAGATCAAGTCTGTGACTGTCACTTCAGCTGACGGAAATCAAAATTGCAACAATCAAGTTTCATCACTGAATCCATAGGTGGTGAAATCTTTCTGCTCTCATCTTTTCTTTTTCATATAAATTTTCTTAAGTGTTTTATGCTTTTATTTAGCTATATTACTATAGATAATAATAACCCAAACAGCTCCAGACCTCCTTTCCATTGCATTTAAATTGTTCTAAAATAAACCCTAGATATATATGTCTTTATAAACACCAGTCATACAGTGCCAACCCTCGCCTACAGGGGTGAGTCGTAACAGCTTGGCAGTGTCAGGTTTATGGTTGGACTTGATGATTTTAAAGGTCTTTTCCAACCTAAATGATTCCATGATTCTGTGCAGGGAACGCTGTCCTAGCTGGAATGCCACTGAGGCACAGTGTGCCACCGTACTCACATCCAGTTCTGTCTCCTCCTCCGGCAGGCCCAGCAGCCCCTTGAGCTCCTCATCCTCCCCACCCATCTTCTCGTCCCCCTTCACCGCCGACGGCAGCGTCTGCGGCTTCTCCCGCAGGGTGTAGGCGCGGGTGGAGGCTCCGAAGGACACCGTGGAGTCAATGGGGATCTGCTGTGGCTTGTGGGCTTCCAAGCGGATGTGGCCCAAGAATGTGCCATGTGCTGAGGGTGTCAAAACGCAGAAGTCTGTTAGTCACCAGATGGGCTCAGGGTATTCCAGCTCCAGTTTGAGAACTGAGAAACTGTAACAACTGTTCCGAGGTACAAGGCACTGAGGTACTGTTGAGAGCATCAGCTGGGTACAGTCTACCCATCATCTCACAAACTGAGACAACACACACCAGAAGTCCTCAAAAAGTCATGGAAATCAATTACAAACACCCTTTACTTCCTGTATTCCTGCAGGTCCCAATGTACTATGTCTAGACAGTGGAAAAAAACACATGACAGGTTTCAGACCTTGGGAAACCATCCTCAGAAGAGAAGGCTTTGCTAAAATTGTGAAGGGAAGGCCAAGTTGCTTTCCTCCTCTCCTTTTGCCTCTTAAAGGATGTAGAAATGTTTTAAATAACCAGTGAGGCAGCTGTAAGCTGACTGGAGCAAACACTCCTTTGCTCTAACCCTCGCCCATCTTTCCCTAGGATGCAAATTCCGATTATATCCATCTGTCCACACAGTGCAAACAACAACGGGAAAGGAAAAAAGTGTCTCAGATTCAGAACGTTTAAGCACTGACATATTGCACTTCTGTCTGGTGAAATGCCACACTACTTACTGCTGTTCAGATCTATGAGGAAAACCCTCTTGAGATGTTTGTGATAGACCAAGGCAGCATGGACCCGAGAGCAAGACTGGTGGTCAATGGTAAAATCGCACAGATCAGGATTTCTCCCAAAGAGATAGTATTTCTTCTCATCAATGATGAGTTTCTGAGTAGAATGTCAAACAGAGAAGCATATTAGACTCCTAGAATCTTTTGGATCTTCCTGAAAAAATTCAAGAACATGAATAAACAGAGCAAATTCAAAACGAAGCATCAACAGCTCATCAATATTTCAGTTTAGTCTGGTACTGTTAAAAACAGAAACTCAAATCTGCTCTTTGTAAAATCAGAACAGATGAATGTGTGAGTCCCAGTTATTTCCTTCTTTACCAGCCAACACAAGACAGCCTCTTCAAATCATGAGACTGTCTCACACAAGAGATTCTCTCTCACAACTGCACCCAAAGATTTCAACACGTTCCTTGATTGCTGACCCTGGACCCTGCCCAGGGCAGGAACCCATGCTCAGTGATCTCTGGTCTGATACACATCATCAAAATTATACTTCTGTACACAACTGGACCTGCAGGAGATTCCAGACCTCTGGTACAAAGATGCAGAACTATACTGAATATGTGCAGTGATCAGAATCCATTATTAGTCTATTCAAGTAAACCGTTAATTTTAGGCATTTCTTCTTTATTCATCCTATTTCTAATCTCTTCTTCAAACAAGATCTTACAAACCTTAATATAAGTTACATAAACCATCTCTATGAAGTGAGGGACATGTGGACAAAGTCCTGCAGTATTTGTTGCTGAGGGAACTTCTTGCACCTGAATGCTGCAGTACCTGAGCAGGGCAGGTGGAGAACCTTCTCACTGGCTCTCAAAAACCTCATCTAACCTGTATTTTCCTGCTCAAGCTGAACAAGGTAAAGGCTGGCAGTGTGTTACACACCTGTTAACAGGCTTCTCCTGCTTTTTGAAACATTTAACAAAGACCCACGTTTCAACAGCATCATCAAAGGAATGCTGAGGATACATTTTCAGAAAAGCTCATGAACTGCTCTGAGATGAACTAGCATTCTGCCTGCTTGAGCACATGGATTTCTCCCCCTCCCACTGTTCCCAGCACTTCAATCCTCTCCTCAGTCTCACTGCCACACATCTGAGCCAAGTTTTCAGGTGTGTGGTGGTTTTAATCTAGGCCTTCCCTGGCTACCAGTTTGTAACCAAGGAAGGGGCAGTGTTCCCAGTATTCCATATGATTTTTACATAAATCGTGGTATAAATAAGAGGGGAGGAGAGGCCTTCGTTTTTCTTCTCTTCCGCCGAAGTTTGGGAACAGTGGGTCCCTGCATTGGTCTGGCTTATCTAAGGCTGAGGCTGCAGCATCCACTGACCTGCCACGTGGAACCCTGGAGAGTGCTGGCAGTGTCTGCCAATCCTGCTTTCTAAGGGACGTGGTGAGATTTGTTTTACTAGTTATTTTACTGGTTCTCGGGTTTGATTGCACGTATCTATTCGGTGTCCCTTTTTGTTTCCTTTTGTCCCTTTTTCCCCTTTCCCTATCCCTTTGGGGGGTGTTTGGATTCCCGTTTGCTGTGTACAAAGCATCTTAACTGTAATAGACATAAAATATATTTTTTATATAACTAGCTTGATTTTTGGGTTCTTCAATTTGCATAGTTTTTTTCCTTTGCCCTGGGGGAAGCAGAAAGGGGGGAAGAGAGGGGCTGCTGCTGGGGGGTTGGGCATTTGGGAGCCAAGTCCGAACCATCACGAGGTGGCAAAGCCTTTTTTTCCTGTGATCTTTCCCTGTTTGAGTGGACTGGTTCAGTTTGCCTTTGGTGTCCCAGCTGCTCCAGGGAAGCAGTGGGTTACAGGCAGTAGGGTGGGGGATGCTGAGGATGCCCCTCTCTGGCAGCACCATTCCAGTCAGCAGGTGTTTGTTCCTCAGGTTTGCCAGGTACAAACCACATGCTCAGCTACAAAAGCCAGTGTATCTGAGCAGGTCCAGGTGGCTGCTCTGGGGCTGTTCTGAGCTGTCAGACTGACACAACGACCACCCAGAGAGTTCCTCATTCTGTGGCACCACCAAGTTATAAGGAGACAGCTTGAATTAAGACACAGCATTTACACTCCTCTGCCTTATTTGCAAGGACAAAAATCCCACCACAGACCTCAGCTTCTACAAGATCACCTTGCAAAGTCACATCTATTTACCTGCCCACCAATGATGAACTTCAAGGCTTTATCACTGCTAGAGTCACGTCACTTCCCCACTGTTTTTTTCCCAGTTTTTCCCCAAGGTTACTCTCTGCTTTCCAGGGTGGATTTTCCAGTGTTCTGCTGAACATCTGTCAGCCCCCATGCTGAAGTTCTCACCATCTGGTATTCAGTAATAAGCATTTAATTTATTTCTGTATGTTTATTCACTCTTTTAGGTCACTAGAAGAATTAACTGAACAACCTGACTCCACCCTTGTACACATCAGGATGATTTACAATTAATTGGTCCCTTAGTTAAAGTTTTTATTCCCCAGCAGCTCCAGGTACACAAGCACCAGTTCACAACAGTGAATGCTTTATAAAATCTACTGACTCACATATTTTGTCCTGCTTTCATAAAATAAGAGTATTTAGGTGATGAAAGTGTGTGTATCTATGAGCTCCTGACATCTATTAAACCAAATAACTTCTCAACCTCTGGCCACTTTCAACCAGCACTACAAGATATTACATTTCAAGCAGTTCCATGAAAACATTATTTTAGCTAGAAAGAATAACAACTAGAAAGAAAAACAACTTTTTCAGTCTCCTTAGTGATACATAAACTGGCAGAAAATCCACAGGAGTGCCAATACTTAGGCTTACACCATAAAAAAAGTTTTCTTTGTGAGTCCACATGTCATTTGATAAGCCAACAATCACAGCTTAATTGGCAATTCACTTGCAACTACGTGGTCTCATGGCAAATGAGGTGCAAATGCAAAATATAAGTGATTTTCCTCCAGCTGGGACAGGTAAAACATGCAGGTGTCTCCCCTGAATCCATCTGTGTTTGGTGCAGAGCAGCACAGCCCAAAGCCTCAAGTGTAATAATCTGAATCAGATTAAAAACATGAGAAATCACTATATTGAGTCTTTTGGGTTCTGCCCTGACCCGGCCACTTTGTCAGCACTTTCTGTCTCTTTACAAATGCTGGTTTTCACAAGACCCCTCAGAGTTAACCAGAAAGTATAAGCTGCAGGTGAAGAGCTTAAACCAGTACCTGGTGTCCTCCATCCTTTCTGGCTGAATTTTATTTTACTCTTTTTATCCCACCTGTAAACAGATCCATCCACCTCCTCCCTGTACACTCTACATGCCAGTGTGCCCTTGTGAGGCTTTTCCCTGCAAGCCTTAACCACTGTTCCATGAGTCTTACTGATATTTTCCCTTGGGATCAAGAGTTGTTTCACCCAGCTATTGATCTGAGAACACCATAACTGTTGGTTACAACACATCTTTTGAGGAAGCCTGGTTAGGTTCTCTGAGGATTCAACTTCCCAGCACTGGATTTATGTCCCATAATCTGCAGTTCCTTACTCAGTTCAGTATCTGACTCTTCCCTGCTCAACACCTTTGCACTAAGGAATTCTGTGATTCCACGTTGTAAGAAAGATGAGCATTAACTTTTATCGTGAATTTGAAAACAAGTCCTGTGTAAACACAGCTCTGACAAGAACAAGTGGATCTTCAGAAGCTGATTTATTCCTCCACAAACAGTGCTCAGTTCCACAAGGAGTTATCTCATGATTTCAAGTACCATGAAAATTGGCCAAACAGTTTCTTATTCTTGCCCATGACTCACACCAAAAGCATCCTGTTAAGTTTTCATTTGCAGCTGTTACACACAAACAATACTGCCCTGACTGGACAGCACTTCAAGAGTTTTGCAAAGACACAAATTCATAAATTGGAAATGCAACAAATCACCATCAGAGAAAATAATTTTATCGACTTCAAGATAACGTTTCCAAAATGTTCTGTGCCTCTGAGCTATAACCCAGTGTCTTCCTTCACACACTGAGCTTAAACACTGCATGGCTTGTGTTGCTGTTGCACTTTGCAGACCCAGCGATCACAGGGTGACCCTCAGGCCTCTGCACGAGGCTGGGGCACCGAAGGCTCGGTTAGTACCAAGTGCTCAGAAACCCCTGGGATTTAACAACTCTCTGCCTTGGTTACTGCTGGCTGCCAGGAAAGACAGCACTGGAGAACTCTTTGCCAGCTGTACCGAACAGGGAAACACATGGATCACATCCAAGTGCTGCTCGTGTGCTGCACAGATCCCTTGTCTCAGGTAACCAGCTCAGACCAGAGGACTGAAGCCATCACCCAGTGCAAGGCCCAAAGCAGCTGCACAAGCAGGTGTGTGTGCTGCACGGGACAGCCTGCCAGGGCTGCTCACCATCCTGCCCTGGGGAGCTGTGCCCTCATGGAGCTCAGTGACAGCAGCAGGTAAAACACAGCTCCACAGGCATTCCCAACTTCTGTGCAATCCCAGCCTCCACTGACCCTTGGAGTACCTGGATAGGACACTGGCAGTGCTGACAGTGCTCTGCATGGCAGCAAAGAGAACCTCTTCAGGTTATCCAGAACTGATGGTAGGAAGAGGGAATTGGGATGCTGGTACCACCCACTTTTCCAAAGCAGAGACCCCAAGCCCACCTTGGGCCTCCCAGGACCACAGTCCTGACTGTCAATTTATAAACATTTTTTCATCCACTGCCGAAAATAGTGGTGCATCCTCAGCTTCCATATGGCACTTTGCCCTTTTTTTCAGCCCTGATCAGGACTCCTGAGATGGACATTCATCTGGCACGTGAGGAGCAATTCAGCAGGGAGCTCCATGTCAACTCTTTATCCTAAAGCTCTGTCCATGCTCAAAAATCTAAAAGAAACATAACGTGAAAAGCTTCACAGAATAATCCTCCAAAAACCCCAAAGCTAGGTCTGGCCACCTGCCACATACCAAAAACCCCAAAGTCACTGCCATGTAGCTTTGCTCCCTGAATCTCATTTACAGCCTGAAAGAAATACTGGAAAACTCAGTGCCAAGCACAATCCCTCCCCCAGGTGCTGCTGCCAGGATGGCACTGAGAATGCTGAGCTCAGAAACAACCCTACTGCAGCTCTCTGAGCTCAAACGTGATTCTGAACACGAAACAGAGGCAGGAGAGGCCGAAAACACAGCCCAGGGTTCCAAGACAAGCGCAGTGCAAAGGGTTTGAGAGCAAGTGTTGGTGAAGGAGAGTCCTGGAAAGAGCCAGCTCAGGCACATCTTGTAGGACTAGGGAGCTGCTCTGGATGTGCAGTACGTGTGTGTCAGTACCTATCTCCTTTCCAATTAAGGCTGGACAAAGATCCCTTAGGTCAAGACTGGCTTTGCCAATTGCTTGTCTTTAAATCCAGAGGAAGAGCACTCTCTCAAAACAGCAAGGGAATATAAAGAAAAGCCTCATTTTACTGATCTCTGGCCTGAGAAAACACAAGTTTATTTGTGAGACACATATCTGTGACATCTCTATCTGCTTTCCTAGGCAAAGCATATATTGATAACCAAATTCCAAATACTAAATCTGTCCTGCCAGACACCAGAAGGAACATTTAGTACTGTCTCTTAATGCTTCTGTGGTAGCACACACTAAATACCAGCTAAGACTTTAAACTACCTAATCTTGATCTAACACTGATTTCTTAATTTTCCAATTTCTGTTCAGAAAAGTTGGCTCAGCTTTGCAAAGTTTGCCTGGCCAGAAACATTTCTGTTTTAGCCAACTGCAAGTCAGGAGTCTCTGCACAGCTAAAATGCATTCACTGCTTTGGGTCCTCTCTGTCAACCCTGTTAGAGACTTTGCTTTATTCATTAAGTGTGACATAAGACAAAATATGAAATAGAGAATAGGTGCATAACAGAGAAATTCCTCCGATGTAACAAAAATAACTTGCTGAATCTGTGCTGTTCACAGATCCTGAATGTGGGAGGAGAAATCCAACTGTGTTTCCTACTGTAGGACAGGGCAGCACTCCTGCCAGATACAGGGTACCTGGTTAACCTTGCTGTAAAATAGAAAATTACCTGACCAGACAGGTTTCTCAAAACAAGTGGTACAAAGGGAAGAGCTTTTACTTTTACTCTTCTGTATTTGAGATTTCTTGATCCACATTATTCAATTCCTGCTCTTGAAGTTCCTAGGACAATGTGCCTTCTGCTGCAGTCTGGCACCTCCCTTCTTATACAGAAAAAAATGTCAACTTTGGTCCAAAATGAAGTTTGCAAGAAATTAGGCTCTGCAAAGCCTGGAGCCTTCCTTACAAACACTTTATTTTTGTGTCTCTGACTAGGGCAGGTTTGATGCTCAATAATTGTGTCACTGCTCGCTGACCCTGCAGTGCTGGATCCCTTCAAACAGTGCAGGTACCTGGGAGATAAAACCATGACAGCCCTGCATGGCATGAGGCTGCCCTAAAGCACAGGCAAGGGAAAAGTCACTTCATTCTCAAGTTTCAGAGCAAAACAAACTGATTTGAAAATAATGAATACGTGAGAGAAAGGAAATACTTATGAGTCAGTGTGGAAAATGCTGGGAAATGTTCTACTGCTGGTGCCTATGTACATGGCACACCAAACCCATCAAACCCTACTTCCATACCTCAATGAGTTTGTCTCCTTTGACTACATCCAGGTGTAAGCCAGGTGGTGGTTTTCCTGCCCTGGAAAATAAAGAGAAGAAAAATATAGTATCAAAACATTTAATAAAACGTTTATTAGTGTTGGAGCTAAAACTCTACTTGAGCTCAGACCAAACCTACAGAAGTATTTTGGGGAAAATATGAAAATCCCATAATTTTCTTTTCCTCCCTGCAGATTCCTTCTGAAAACACATAAACCAAGATTTTTTTATGGGAAGAGTGAAGGTAATGGGACATGAGGCATCTCAAGCTTTACCTCTCCAGAGGAAAACCAGCTGATTTGCACAAGAGAGCAGCTCCTGAGAGAACTTGGTATGAGGCAGGAAGAGACTAACAGCTAGGGAAGGGGTAGGCTGGGACTGTTCAAGGGCCCTGTTTTCTCATGTCACCTTCAGAACAGCACATCTCTACCCCTGGCTTTTGAGAGGAACAGGAATTTCTACCACCCCTCCCCTCCACTATGGGAACAGCAAAACCCCCCAAAGGGTCTCTGCACACACCTGCAATATTATGAAGGTGCTGTCCAATTGCCAGAGCTCCTCCAGGCTCACCTGTGATCGCACAAAGCAGACTCCAGCACCAGAGGGGCCACCCCAGGGGACAGCAGCACAATCCTCCCCCAGCACATTCCACACCAACTGCAGCCCAGCCCCTACAGCTCCTCCCTGCTCACCTGCTGAGGGCAGATTCACCTGTCAGCCAGCATTATTGCCAGCTGGCAGGGGGAGCACAGAGCCTGTGGGACTCAGCAGGGCACAGCGAAATGCCAGAAACGGGAGAAGCCGCAGGGACCAGCAGAAATGTCCTGGGCATTTACAGTGCTCAAACCCACAACACCCCTGAGAACCAACACCCTGCCCTGCACCACACGGAATTTTGGCTGCTGGCAGCAAAGGCTCTTTGCTCAGATCTCTCTGCATTTCCATCACTTCCTCACAGATGGCAGCTCTGCTGTCTGTCTCTGAGGCTGCACCAGCTTTCTGGGCAGGCAGCAGCAGTGACCCAGTTCTCAGCAGCACCACTGCCCTTCTGAGGAACTCCAGAGAGATCACATTCCCACTCTGCTCCCTGCATGGAGCCAGTCCAGGAAACAGTGACAGCGGGCAGCCACGTTCTCAGGGTGGCTGGAGAAGAAAATAAGGTCACTGCTAACTGAAGTTGTTTGAGGGGATTAAATATAGATGTTCACATTTCTGGGATGTGGCTTAAAATGTGATGGTTTCTTCTGTGTCCCTGGGTCAGTTCTCCCCAATAACTTAATGCAACAGTCTTCTACTATTGCTACTTCATTTCTTTCCCAAGCATTTTCCTTTGCTGCTCCCAATCCATTACATCAGCCTGCCCAGATCTCTCTGGCCCTTTCTGAATCTGCCAGCTGGGACTTGGACAAGTTTTCTTGCCAGGCCCTTCTCTATGATTGTGGATATGCCACCCTAACGAGCACATGGTTCATACTGATGGATGAACAAATGACAGCAGCAAAAGCAGAGACTGCAAAGCTCCAGGACAATCTGCTGAAGTGGTGACTGCTTCCAGAAGCAGGATTATGGTGGTGTGGGGGACAGACCAGTCAGGGAACTGCCTCCTCTTAAGCACTACTCAAGGACCTTACAGGCAGGCTACACCTGAGCACTGCTGCCCCTGTGCTCCCTGCAGATCTCAGTGCTCAGTTTGCACTGACAGACAGGTTCCTTTCATGGATTCACCTCCACTTCTCACAATTTCCTCTTTCTGCCCCTGAGCACTGGAAAACTTGTTTTTCCCCATTTCTCTGAAATTGCCAAGTTCTGGTTACTCTGCACCACAACTTCTGATAATTTTCATGTGCCTGCCTTACTCTGATCAAACAACAGCTACTTCCCCAACCTTTTTTTTTCTTTTCCACATAGTTAAACCTCTCAACAAATTAATTCTACAAGTAAGTCTACTTCTTACTCACTCTGGCCTCTGCTTTTCCTTTCAGTGATCTCTTCCTGGATACTCAATGTCTGTCTGTCCCAACACACATTTCAGCAACACCCTCCCTGTACCTGACAGGTCATAGGAGAGCTCCCAAGTGCTGCAGCACAACTGTTGTCCTCTTCTGTAAGCTGAATCCTGTCTGACAGTCATCTTTTGCCACATACCAGCTCTGCTTTTTTATTGCCACCTCTTTTTTTACTTTCATCCTTGCTGTTATTTTTACTCTGCCTTTACCTTCAACTTATTTTGAACTCATAAAACAAGCCCAGCAGTAGCATAGGGTAGTGTCTTCAGCTATGAATTAAACTGCTTGAAAAATGTACCTATTCTCTGGCTTCTTTCAGACTGAGAATCCTTTGTAGGCAGTATTTCCCCTATCTACCCATTCCTGCAAAACACTGAACACAGGAAGGCTGTAAATACTGATTATGATGCCAAAACAACAAACTCACAGAAGTAATTTCTGTTAGAAAACACCTTTGGAACAGATTAAATCAATGTCACAGTTCAGGCTGCCAAACTTAAGATACTTGAAAAGCTTTTTAATGAAAAAAAGTAGAAAGATTTTTCGAGTTTTAAATTCCAAACTAATTAGTTCCAGAGTCACCAAAGTTCAGAAGTAATGGCTGGATTTGGAAGTATCAGCCACTGCTCACATGCTCTGCTTCATCACAACTCTCACCTCATGAATCAAGGAGTAAAACACGAAAGGAAATCTCTCACAAAAATCTACTACAAGAAAGTTTGTTAGAAAGCTGGCCCTGAGCTGTTACAAGAAAGCATTTTTTTCCATCTTATTTCCAATATTAAAAAAGTCCTCTTCCACTAACTAATATGCTAAAATATCCACTAAACTAATTTTCCTACATTATTCTGAAAGATGAAGAATTACTTGAGGTCAGCAGACTGTCCCCTCCACAGAGGACACAGGGACAGCCCTTAGCACTGCCCCAAGCCCAGTGCTATCCCACCAGAACTCTGCTCCAGCACATTTAAAAATGGACAATAACCAGCTTGTTCTGCACCTTCCAGATGGTGCATCCCAGTCCCCAGTGCCTGAACATCTCCTGCCTCCACTGGGCAGCATCCTGCACGTGACCTGAAAGTAACACCTGGGAACCTACTGCTGGTCACCAGCTGAGTGAGTTTAACGGAGACACAGCATGCTCAGACCACCTCCTGAACCCCCAAAGCTTCCAGGAACAAGTGAAGCCTTCCAGAAAATTCATGGAGCTCACTGGCATGGAGAACATGGCCATGGGCACTATCATTATAGGAATTCTCTGGATCAGAGAAGACAAAAGAGGACACACCACATCAGAGATTTTCTTCACTATGAGTCCGAGGAACTCAAAGAAGTGTCAGAAAGTTCTTACGAACTGATAAAAAGAGTGACAACCTGCAACCCCCAAATGGCTTCAGCCAGGCACTCTCAAGAGCTCAAAAACCAGTTTTTTATACTTAACAGTTCAGCAACCTATTGCTTAAACCACTGTCAGAAATGCAGGCATCAACTGATGCTGCTAATTTTGAAGGGTATTTCAAAAGTGAACTGGAAACTACATACAGCAAAGCCAAGTTCTGGCTGGGAAACTGGTGGAACACAATATTTCAGTTGGAAGTGATCTACAACAATCCGTCCAATGCCTGACCACTTCAGGGCTGCCCAAAAGCTAAAATGTGTTATTAAGGGCAGTGTCCAAGTGTCTCCTAAACCTTGACAGGCCTGGGGCACTGACCAGCTCTCTGGGAAGCCTGTTCTGTGTCTGACCAACCTCTCGGTCAAGAGATGTCTCCTAATGTGCAGTCTGAACCTCCCTGACGCAGTTGTCACAGGTCAGGCTGTTGTACTGGGTCAGGCTGGAAGGAACCACAGTGCCCCATCTGATCCCACCTCCCTGCTCAGGCAGGGCCATCCCAGAGCACATGGCACAAGACTGTGTCCAGATGGTTCTGGAGTATCTCCAGGGAGGAGACTCCACACCCTCTCTGCTCTCTGTTCAGTGCTGGGTCGCTGCACAGGGAAGTTCTTCCTCCTGTCCAGGTGGAGCTTCCTGGGCATCAGTTCCTGCCCGTTCCTCCTGTGCCATTGCTGGGCCCCCCCGAGCAGAGTCTGGGCCATCCTGTGCCTCCTCCCTGCAGCCCCTGACACACCCTGGGGAGGGCCCCTCTCAGGGGGTGCTCTGGAGCCTGAACAGCCCCAGCTCCCTCAGCCTCTCCTTGGATCCCTTGGGCATCCCCGCAGCCTCCTCTGGACCTGCTCCAGGAGCTCCATGACCCTCCTGTCCTGAGGAGTCCAGAACTGGACACATCTCTGCAGATGTGGCCTCCCACATGTCCTATCACTGGACAGCAGGGAGAAGAGATCAGCACCTGCCTGTCCACCTTCCCTGCTCAGGAAACTGTAGGGATGTATCATGGGCAGAACTAGCACAGGCAGGAAATGAGTAACAGTCACCTATCTAGTCTGCACGTCAACACTCAACAGCACTGATCCTTTGGGAATGTGAGGATGTCTGGGGATGGTGCTCCTTCAAATGCCAGGGAAACATTTCTTCTTCGATTAAAGAAGGACAAACCTTGCTTTGGAATAGCTCCCTTCAGCCTTGGGAAGAATCCCAGGATGACAATGACTCTGCTGAAAGAATGTCTTGTTTGACAGGATACAACCAAGCACTGACAGAGCTCCTATTCTATTTAAGAGGAGCTGAATGTCCTGGGAATGGAACTAATGTGGTATTTGGATAAAATTGCTATTTATTAGCCAAGTGAGTTGATTCTGGCAAGAGAAAGTGGGCACAACCATGGATGAGGAGAAATGAGCCAGGAACTGACACTGGTATCTACCCCAGTATAAAATGGGCTGGTTTCATACTTTAAATATTTCTAATGGGGTGTTGGGGTTTTGGTGGGATTTTTTTTTGTTTTCTTTTTGTTTTCTTATTGCAAGGTGAACTTTCATTAAAATTATACTCTTCGAAACTTGCATTCAAGCTGGACAGAATTTCCACAGTGACCCAAAAGTATTGTATTCATGTTCCTTTAGACCACTTCTTATG